CATTCAAACTCATATACATTACAATTAAAACAAAATATATACACAAAAAATAAAACACGCATCTGATTTTTCCGGTTGAATTTTCCGATTGTTGTTACATCAAACTAATCATACCATGTGACTTCATTTTGTTTCATAATCTCAAACACAAGACTATGTAACGATTCGTCAATGTGCCCAGCCCCGCGCTTGCGCGGGGCTATGAAACTAGTATATTCAATTAGTTTCTTCGTATAAAGAACGAAAAAGAGGTGGGTACATGCATGATTGCATGCAACATGTAGTCTTTACAGTACGATTGAGTGGCGATGGGCGAATAACTAAGGGCAATTTGCCTAATATTCATAAGGGAATGATTTATTAAGAATATAGCCATAGCATTTTGATTTGACATTTTCACACGCATCATGACGATAATAGCCTTTCATTCGCGTACGAGTGATTATGAGGCGAGTGGAGAGAACTGAACCATGAAAACCATAACAACTGTGTGACCACAAAGACGAGGCTATGTAAAAAAGTATACTATACTTTTACTGACGATAGTCTACACTATGGTTGGCAACATAAAATAATATCTGAAAAAACGGAATTCGTCTCACTGTAAATGGGATGTACAAAACGGAGTTATTGTAAGTGTAAATGAAACTGGGAAACATATATAGAAAGAGGTAAGTTGACTATACTATACAAGGATAGAATATCAATTAATACTCAACATACAATATATGACAAAATAAGGTTCGGATAAGAGGAGACATTAAATACGGAAGGAGTTGATTATAGCAAACTATAGTAGACGGTGAATAACATTGTGCATAATCATAAGGACACTATAGCATGTTAACCTGACCGAGTGTTCACCATATATGGAAGACAATATACTATGATGCATATGCTATAGTATAGTCAGTGAAAAAAAACCATAAACCATGAAACCAAACCATTAACCCAATATATATATGTTATATATTATACTATAGTATATATTGGATAGTATAGGGAATACAATAACACATAAAACAACCTTCAAGACTAACATCCAAAAGGGGTACACTATATTGAAATGCGACTGAATATATGAAACTAAATATTCAGGTGTTTTGAGAGGAAACATATAAACATGCACGAAATACAAAATGAGAAGAGTGACACATTTCTAAAATGAATTTACATACTATACTATTGTATACAAGTACTAGTATAGAAAATATAACATTTTACCTCGTAAATCACCTACAAAATTACATTCCATTTACAAAATAACAATTAAGCATAGGGTCTATCAGATATGAAACTGTGTTTATTGTTGATAGGTAAAACTGTGTTGATTGTTGGTAGGTAAAAGATAGAAGGAGAGGGAGAGAGAGGGGAGAGGGAGGGGGACTTGGACATGGACATAGAGAGCCTCTCCCTCTCCCTTTCCCTCTACCTCTCCCTGTCTCCCTCCCCCTCGGGAACGGGGAGAGGGAGGGGGAGGGGAACAGAGAGAGGGGGAGGGGTATACAATAGCAGGTGTCATGTACGTATAGGTTATATACTATACTATAGTATATATTGGATAGTATAGGGCATACATTAACACACAAAGCAACCATCGAGACTAACATCTAAAAGGGGTACACTATGTTGAAAGGAGATTAGATATATAAAGCTAAATATTCAGGTGCTTTGAGAGGAAACATATAAACATGCACGAAATACAAAATGAGAATAGTGACACATTTCTGAAGTGAATTTACATACTATACTATTGTATACAAGTAATAGTATAGAAAATATAACATCTTACCTCACAAATCACCTACAAAATTACATTCCATTTACAAAAGAACAATCAAGCATAGGGTGTATCATATATGAAACTGTGTTCGTTGTTGATAGGTAAAACTGTGTTGATTGTTGGTAGGTAAAATATAGAGGGAGAAGGAGGGGGGAGGGAGGGATACATGGATAGGGACATAGAGAGGGAGAGGGAGAGGGAGAGGAGGAGGGGGAGGGGAACATGGAGAGGGGGAGGGGTTGAGGGAGGGGGAGAGTGGGAGAGGGGGAGGGGGAGTGGGAGCGGGAGAGGGAGAGGGAGAGGGAGGAGGAGTGGGAGAATGAGAGGAATCGGTATACGGTTACTATATTATTAATTTTTCTCATATAGTATAGGCTTATACTTCATCTTCTTCATCCTTCACTGTTGCGCCTAATCCCACCGTAAACTAAACCCCACCGTAAACTACTTCAGTTAGATCTACAAAAAAATTGGATTGTGATCAAATATAATGTATTACAATTACAGTTTAAACTATAACTCTGATTTTCGCTTTCTTCCGTCACCGAAGTTTTTACGTCTCCTCGATCTCTCTCTTTTTTCCGGTTTGTATTACAACTACAGTTTAGAAACACAAAAGCTACGATTCGTTTCCACGCGCAAGCTGAGGATAAAATGGGAAATAAAGAGAAAAAAATCAATCCTATCATAACTAAAGCCTTGCTATGGTTATTTAATTTTTTTTTTTGGTTCTTATGGCTACTATGCCTAATTCCCCAATAACTAATAGCTAAATTTGTATTTTTTTTTATAAAGGGCTTAATAGCTAAAATTTATTCTCAAATTTCTTTGCTCTTCGTTTGCTTTTAACTTATCAAATTACAACAAAAATATAATTATTCTTACTTAACATGTCTACAAATTATTAATTAGTAAAATAAAACACAAAATTACTATTAAAAATATAGTATTGAAGTACCTTATGTTTTAGTAAAGCGAGTAATAAATATACAAAATGTTATAAAATATAAATACACTAGGGTAAACCCGTCCTACGTGCGGGCGAATATACAAAGTTATTAATATGAATTTATTTTCAAAATTTTTATTCATTTTAAGTTACATAGCATTAACTTTCATAAAATATTCACAACAATGTTAAATTTCTATTACTATTAATTTCAGACATTATATCATTATCTAATTTTTATTTAATTTTATATTTTTGGTTAGACATTTTTATTTGGAAACAGCTGGTTATATATCATGTGAACTATTATTTTTATGATTGCTTAATTTTATTTTAATATGTCATTTTGGTTTAAAATGTTTGATGTTAGGATATTCAACTTCGATGGTGTTGCAATTAAATAAATTTTGTAATTTGACGGTTGAGATAATTTTAATGAGCATATGTTGTATTTTATTTTTCTGGATAAATATGCTTATTTTATTTTAGGTTATGTGTTCTTATAATTTATACTCTTAGATTTTCATTAACATGTTGTTTTTTATTGTATCTCTTGTTAATAATTTGAAAATGTATATGTATTTATTTTCGGATAAGTATTGGAATTAAGTTTGATGTTTCTTTTGCAATTCAAGACGTAACATTTTTAAATACATTTCTCAAAATATATAAAAATTAGTCTATTGGTTATATCATGATTTTTTTTTGTTCTTATTTTTTTCTCATTTGTTTTGATAATGTGTAAACTATTTGTTGTATTTTTCTCAGTATCTTAATAATCTTACTTAACTTAAGTTCAATGATTAAAAAGAGAAAACATTAGTCTCTTTTTAATTTTTTTTGTTGGCATGATAAAGTTAATGTATTCTCCTAATTGGCTGTCTTATAAAGTTTTATTACTATTTTTATTAATTTATATATTTTTATCATGTGTTTTTATATTATATATTTTGTTATATTCTTAATGTCACTAAATTGTAATTGTATGATTTATGTATAAGTTATTGTTTCTTGAATAGTTTTTAAAAATATTTAGTTTGATTATATATGATGTATTATGGTTTACAATCAAATTTTCAATATATCTAAAGTTTAACATGATGACAAAAAAGAAAACTTAAATTTTTGCAACATATAGTTCAAGTGATTGCTAATTTTATAATTTGTTATACTAAATTATTTTAGAAAATTTTATTTCAGAATTGTGTGTAATTGTTTTGTTTTTACATGTCATTGTTTAACATTTTCAAATCCTCTTATGAAACCAAAAAAGGTTAGCAGCAATATAATTAATTGTTTTTCTTAAATGTTTCTGTAGTGTAAATAAAACTGAAAGAATGTTTGATGACAGGACTGACAACTTGCAACTCATCACCTGAAAGGGATTCAAAATCATCACCTCAGAATCCAAGAGGAGCATGTACACACCCATGAGCTCTCCACCACGGCGGAAGTTCCTGGCTTCCCAGTAGCAAAGCAGACGGACTTGGACGGTGGAGGAGGAACGTCCGGCCTGGAGATCGGATAAAAAAATCGTCATGTTAACCATAGCTGAAATTTTCTACAGAGATTTAGTATTTTGGGATGGAAATCGAGAACGGAGAAGGTCACCATTTTATAGGTAACATCACATGAAGAGCGATGAATGAAAGAGTTAAGATGATCAGAGAATATGAATCGATCGTGTCTGATCGGTTAGGAGGAAGAAAAGCTCGACTGCTATGAGACATAAGCTTCAGAAACCGTAATTAACTCATGTGTCACAGTAACAAAACAACCTAATGGGCTACCGAATTTACATTAGGCCGAGGCCCAACATGTGTTGATCCGTTTTATTTAACTTTGTGGACAGATGTCACAATATAAAAGAGTCTATTTTGTGACATCATATGCTGAGGTGTATTAAGGAGAAAAGAGTTTCTTCTTCTTTATAAATAAAGATTTAAGATTTTTGATATTAATCAAATAGATTAAAATGACCAAGCTTAACCAAAATAGATATTTTAATATAGTAAAAAGGTACAGGCAACTATACTTATAAACGCAGATAGCCTTGTAGATATTTTTCATAAATCAAAATATTGACACACTGAGAAACTAAGAAAACAAACCGAAACCAAATCAAAATTCAGATTGAACACATTTATTAGATTTAATTGTCATGCAAGGCTTGAGATTTTAAACCGAATTGAACTCTCTGAACCGAAGTTTAAAAAGTTCTGTTTGGCTTTAGCTAAGAATGAGAATTGATTAACGCCAATCTTTTTTTTTTCTTTCAAACGCCAATCTTTTTTTCTTTTTCAAAACGCCAATCTTCTTCTCTTCCTCTTCACCACCTCATCTCCCTTTCCATCACATATAATTTATCACTACTCTTCTGTGTTTTTTACCATGACTGGTTTTGCCATTATTATACCTCTTCTTTACAAACCAAAAAAAAAAAAAGAGAAAGATACTTGTATACTAGTAAAACAATATCTGGAGAACATAAACTTGTTTCAAATAAAAAATCGTCTACGATGAATTTGAGTTTTAATAAATTACAAATTAGATTGAGACCCCGCTTCAGACCATAACGACAACGATATGGTTTCTTCGTTTTTTTGGTTTAATGGTTTCTTCGTTTTTATATTGATTAATCGTTCATATTCGAGTTTACCTATCTGCTATGTTAAAAAAACAAAAACATGTTCCAATCACAATATATTTTCCAGGACAAGCATATCACATCATCACATGAGGGACACGTCTTAGGATTTATTAACGGAAAGGGAAACAGCAGTAAATAATAAGTAAATAAACAAGCTATTATACTCATTTTGATTGCTATCGTATATATAAATTCCTTATAATTTTTATATTCAAGCAAAAGCTGATTATTTCTTAGTCAACCCGACGACAAGAGTGACACACGTTTTGTTACTGCAGCTCGAGTGTTGTCTCACATGGCGAGCATACTTATCAAACAAGATATCGATAATATCTTCTCCAAAATGAGCAGCGAGCATTGGTTCAGTAACGGCTCTTATAGATTTAGCCTCATTGTGTCCTGCTTCATAGTTATCTTCTTCGTCTACGCAGTTACTATGACCAAGATCCAATCCATGTGTTTCCAAGTCATTGATTTCAAAAGAGCCTTCATTTTGTATCACATCTCTAAGTTCTTGCTCGCTCGGATCATAAAAGGGCAAGTTGAATGCATCCAGTTTTAAGTTACTCACTAGGCCCTGTTAATAAAGAGATTGATATGCTGATGACCATTTCTAAATTCAACAAAGTAAAATAATGATAATAATAATAATAATAACAATGATAATCATATCGTATTATGTATATATACCTCGAAGACTAGGTCACAGAGAGATTTTGATAGCAGTGTCCAAGCGTGACAACAATCTCTAAACAATGGATCATTGTTAACAGTGTTTCTACCGACGAAGGCAAGAACCATTCGTCCGTTAGAGACAATTTCCTCAGAACGTAACGTTAAAAACATTGTGAAATCTTTTTGGAATTGATTCAAGTAAGCCTTGAAAGCACTTTGAGGACTTGAATTTGTTATGAACACATTTTCCTTATTATTCTCGAGTTTTTCTGGAACCTGTGATTATAAACACACAACGTCATTAATTATCAAATAACTCAAAAGTTTTATGTAAATGAATGTTAATAACAAAGTCTTAAAGAAAGTTACCCTGGAGAGCCAATGGAGAGAGTAAGAAGAATGTATAAAATGGAGGCTATTGCGAGAGAAGAGCCTAGAGTAGAAGGAACCTGGTGCTCCATAGACGAAACACGATGCTTGGTTTGTCTTCAGGAGCTCCTTGTTGAAGTAGGGTACGAACTTGAACGTTGCGTTGAAATCGTTTTCAGGAAGATCATTCAGACAACAATCGATTTCTGGAGGGTTTTGGTTCGATTGTTGGCACAGCACATTGATGGTGTTGGTGATCTCAGAGATAGCCAAAAACGTGTTTTGTCCCGAAGAACAACCCAGTTCAGCAACTTTGATATAGTTAGGAAAGTTTACACTCTTCATCATTTCTTCTGTATTTTTAACCAAGACTGGTCTTGCCATTAATATAGCTCTTTTCTACAAACCAAAAAAAAAAAAAAAAAAAGAGAAAGATAATAGTTGAAAAGTATCTGGAGATTATAAATTTGTTTCAAATAAAAAGTCGTTTACGATAAATTTGAGTTTTAATAAATTACAAATTAGCTTCATGTTGGATTTTTTTTTTGAAAAACCATGTATTCTACTGATATGATATTTATAGTTTTCTATGGATTTTGATTGATTCACAACTTCATATAAGCAAGACTGGATACGTTCTTCTTATACTGCACCTCAAAAATTTATTGATTAATATTTTAAATTTCAGTTTCACCATAGTAAAATGATTGATTTTTTCCTTCTGCTTCACCAAATAAGATTATTTTTGTAAAATAAAATAAAAGGAAAAGAATACTGAAGAACCTGAATAAGAGAATTGGCGGAGTAACTGCTGGCTCCATCTCCACCAGTCATACGTAAAGCTTTCACAAATGCATATTCATCATCACTCTTTTCATCAATACTCCTGCGTCGCGGTATAGATAAAAAGTAGATATGGACATAAATTAACTAGTGTATATTTAAAACAATTAAATCGAAGTGTTGTAATGGTGAATTAGAGAGACAAACCTCAGGGAAGGAACGGTGTCGCTGAATCTTGAATCCATTTTTATCGTACTTCTTAATGAAGATTCAATGAGTTAAGAAGATGTGTGTTGAAGCTGCAAGTCGCACATTAATTTATAGAGAGATGGAATTTAATCATGCATGTAGCATATAACAAAAATGAAACACGCCATGTGTAAGTGTAAAAGCATCTCCGACTCCAGTACAAAATAGAATGGAAAATGGAGTAATGAATAAACAAAAAAGTGATTACTCTACACTACTCTTAGTAAAATGAAGTGGGGTTGCAAATGCTCCAATGTTGAATCAAAAAAATTATACAAATAAAAATGAATACTCGAATAAATTTCAAAAGTCTGATCATTTTTTCATAATGAAATATATCTTTGGTAAAAAAATGATAAAACGAAAGAAATACTAGTTGAGATGAACATTGATAAGTTTTTTTTTTGGTCACAAGTCTAATAATTGTTTCATAAGATCTATTTGTATATTTAACGATAATAAGGTTTATATTCAATGAACGAGAAAATGCTAGTTGAGATGAACATTGATAAGGTTTTTATTTTGAGAACATTGATAAGTTTTTTCCAGTGATCAAATATTAAGAGTGCCAAGGTCAAAAAAGAAAAAGAGTGCCAAAGTCAAAAATAAAATATTTAAGAACCGTCTTTTATTTTTTTTTAATTAAAAGTTAAAAGATGGTTTCTTAATTCTGCTAAAAATTCCATTCTTAAGAATTCTCTAATAATCATGCTCTAAGTTTCTAGAATTAACTTGTTCCATGCCACATACATTAGACCTCACATCAAGTGGAACACAAAACTCCGGTTTAGAAAAAAACAAAATTTACTGCATCATTTCCACCCATATAGTTTGTCTTAGACTATCTCCAATCCACTTCTCTATTTCCATCTCTATATTTTTCTCTAAAATAGAAAATCTCTATTATAGAAATGAATTTTCTCCAATATATATCTCTATAATAGAATTTCTCTATTTATAGAGAAAATATTGAGAAATGCTATTTTCCACCTTTATATATATAAGCAAAAAGTAACATCCTCTTTGATAAAAAAAAATAACATTGCTCTATATTTTTCTCTAAAATAAAATAACTCTATTATAGAGGTATATATTGGAGCAAATCCGCTTCTATAATAAATATCTCTATTTTAGCGAAAAATATAGAGAAACATATATTAGAGATGTTCTTAAGAGTTAGGTCACGATCCGGTATGTGGCCTATACAGCGCAGTACGTATTGGGTATGTGGCCTATACACTCAAATTCTAATTCATATAAAAGAACGAACAAAGAGGTGGGTACTTTATGAAAGATGCGTATGTGGCCTATACAGCGCAGTACGATTGATTGCCGACTAGTCAATAACTAAAAATTGTTCTTAACAGTTTTTGCTCTTCATTTGCTTGATTTAACTTATCAAAATTGGAGAGTAGCAAATAACTATAAAATACACATATTCTCGTGGATAAATGAGATATGCTACCATGCAATACTGTTTTTTTTTTTTAACTTAACATGCAATACTGCGTGAGAAGCTCAAAAACTCGTCTCCTTGGATCACATGGTTCGAGACAAGATTTCTGGTAGGTCAGAAGAAACTGATCATGGTTATATTATGCTCGGAGGCATGCTGTGAAAGCTATGCTGTTGGGGTTTACTCAGTGGCGGAGCCAGCCACGAAATTGAACGGGGTCAATATAATTAACTTCATGGATCAGGTTAGTTTTAAGTAAATATTACAGGGGTCAATATACTGATTTTATAATATTTCTCTAGTTTTCTATGAAAAAGTACATGTAAATTTTTTTGTAATGAAAATTCATAGGGGTCAACTGACCCCCCTCCTTAAGCACTACCTCCGCCACTGGGTTTACTACTCCTTCCCTTTCTTTTTATAAGTAGTTTTAGAGAAATGTTTTTATTTTAAAATATAAGTAATTTTCAAATTTTTAAGCAACTTTTACATTTATTGAATATGGTATGTCCAATCAAATAATATTGACCTATTGATGATTGGTTTAATTATACTTAATTTAATATATCAAGTGTTACTTTAAAAATAATAATAAATTGTTCTTAATATTTGTGCATTCAAGTAAAACTATTTATAAAAAGAAATGGAGGGAGTATTACAATATTAAATGGTCGGTCTTCACCAAGATATCAATAGTGATTACCATTTGCCAATAAAAATCTCATGTTGGTTGTGTGTTGCACGTTAAGAAAATGTGTCTTGTTTTAATTCTAGAAGATAGAAATTGACAAAGAAGCAGAATTTCAACAGCTTCTACAGCTGCAACGGCAACTTACTATTGAGCAATAATATATGCAAGTTAATATTAAAAATATATAAAAAAAACCGAGATTTTTTATTTGTAAATCTAAATTTTTTTCACAATATACAAAATTGTCTATAGCTCTTTTCAAACTTAAAAAAATTTCAAATTTTAAAATCAACAAATTTTATATAAACCTAGCTAACTCCCAGTTTTTCACTAACATCTCTACTGAACAGAATTGGAACCACAATAAAATTCATGTTTAGTTAAGTGAGTACTAACTATTAAGCAAAGTCGTGCGGTTAAAATGGTTTGATTTGGTTAAGTTTTTTTTTTTCAACGCTAATTTATTATAATATTACAATTATGAAAAATATTACTTAAACGATTCAACAACCGACAATATTACCTATTTTTATGACGATCTATGCCTAAATAAACCACCAGAATCGTATTCTGAAGATTCACGTCTGATTAGATTTACTTACACTATATATTGAAGATTTTTTATAAGTCTTTCTTTCGTAATAGTCTGCATAATTGTTTAGTATAAATCGTTTTACCGGAGATGGAAACCTAAATCTCCTGAGATTGCAAGAAATTGCATAGTACTGGTGGCATGGTTCTAATCTCTGACGGCCCAACTCAACTCTGACGGCCCAACTCAATAAAGAAAAGATGTTCACTTCGATCACCTATATCCGACCAACAGATTTTCCACTGCCGGCGTTGGGACATTTTAATCAGATTCGGTGCCGGAAATAGGAAAATTTTGATGTTGGCGGGTGTAGTTGTACTCTCCGTAGTCAAAAGCTAGTTCTCACGAACCAGAACCTGTCCGTACCATAACCTGAGAGCTGATGAGAATCAGTGTCATGTCGCAAATGCAGCAGCGAAGCTTCTCGATCGATTTGCCTTCACTGGTTCCTCTGCAACTTCCATCTCGTAGGTAACGTTTCTCAATTGCGTTTGTTATATTATTAGAGATCCACGTTTTGAAGCTTATCTTCTTCTAAAAAAACTCTTTGTAGGGAGACTCATCTATGGTATATACTACCAGATGAAGTGAAAAGCACGTCTCTTTTGAATCGTTACTCTCAACTTCTCTCACCAAATGAGAGAGATAGAGTTGATCAGATGAGAGGTGATGAGCTTAAGAAGAATGCTTTGCTTGCTCGCACCTTGGTTCGAACCACCATTGCTAGATGTATGTTTATTCTAGTTAATACTATATGATGCATTTAATCTGTTCCCTGAAGATTGATCATCTTTCTATATAATAAGCTGTTAGCTAGTCTCTAAGGTTAAAGAACATTGACGAGTACTAGAGAGGTTGTTAGCTCAACTGGAAAGGACTCTGACCATTGTGTCACAGATCCCCAGTTCGAGTGACCGCTGCCACGAAACTAATATTACATGTTGTGGTTTCGGACCTTTTGGTATTAAAAAAAAAACACTGAAGATTTTACCTGAATTTTAAGCTTATTTGTTTTATTTTACTATGTGGTGATTTGGTAGAACTTTTTCATAGAGATTCAAGAGTTTAAAGGGTATTAACTGTGATCTTGGTTTTGTTATTAGATCAGACAAACAATGCGGTCGATCCTGGATCTTTGATGTTCAAGAAGAATATGTATGGGAAGCCTGAGGTGAGTGAGAGATGATTGTTTGGGAGTAGAGTAAGAGTCTTATTGTCTGGGCTTGGGACGAAACATTCATTTGTGCTTCTTTGAATTTCTTTCAGGTAGATTGGCAGAACTGTAAAGACTGCAATAAGCAGCCACTGCATTTCAACATCTCTCACACAGGTTCATTAATTGCCTGTGGGGTGACAGTACATGCCCCGGTAAGCTTTCTCATTAGGCAAATAACATATAGTTATGTCCAAAATTAGCTGTGTCAATGGTTTCTTGAAATGATTGTGTATTTGAATAGTTGCAGTTTACTACTATTGTAGATTGGTATTGATGTTGAAGACAAGGAAAGGAAGATAAAACATGATGTCTTGACATTCGCAAAAAGATTTTACACTGCTGATGAAGTGAACTTTTTGGCAACTAAACCGGACCAGGAAGCTCAGAGAAAAGAATTTATTAAGCTATGGACTCTTAAGGTAGTTTCTACTAACAACAGATAACACTTGAGCGTTTAAATAATTCTTACTTCTCTCAAAAGATAGAAACTCTTGTGGTGATTCTGTATTTAGGAGGCGTATGTGAAAGCATTAGGAAAAGGCTTCTCCGCTTCACCTTTTAATACCTTCACAATCCAGTCTACGCCTGGAACTGAGGGAGGCTACAGTCTTTGCAAGGTTTGTTTTTAGACTTAACTCAGATTCTGTTCACTTCCTTCCTTGAAGATCTTTGATTGTTTTCTGTAGACATCTGAATTGACAGCCAATCCAATGGAGGAGACAGAGAAATACAACGGAGGATGGAAGTTTACCCTATTGGAGTTGGCTGATTCTCATTATGCTGCAGTCTGTATTGAAGATGATGAAGTTAACGAAGGTGCAGTTTCAGTTGATATATCTCTTGACATTGAAGGATCCATTGGTTTACTGGTTTCTTCATCACATCTTTTTCCTTCTTGCAGGAGGTCCAATGAAGGTGATTGTTCGGAGAACCATCCCGTTAGTGGAAGACCAACTTATTTCCGAAAGAATATTTCTGTAGTTAAGTGCAAAACCTTACTCTTCTGTAATCATTTTATTATATATACTTCCTCTGCAGAACACTTTCTGAGACTCTTGAATAATCACCAGTAATCCTTGCACGAGCAGAACCCATCTTCGAAATAGTGGAACCTTGATGCATCTCTTACAACAAACCTACGATCTACAACCTTGCTAACCATCTTGATGAACACATGACAATCTTCACAAACCCTCAGGTTCTTTATCACAAGAATCTCTGTCCCTGGACTAGTGTTGAGGATCGCAAATGCTACTGCTAACCTCTCGCTATGCTCACGCGTGTTGCTCGAAACCTCTCCGCATCTATCACAGTCTGTGTTTCCCGTGATCTCCATCACAGAAGTCTCTAACTCATCCAGCATTCTATAGACATCCTCTGTTTGCTCATGACTTCTATCGCCAGCCAAAAACAAATGAACTCTTCCCTTGTGTTCTACATAACTATACCCTGGCTCTTTCTTGAATCCTCTCTCTCTCATCATTACCCGTATTATCCAGATTCCTTCTTGATTCTTTGAGTCTGTATAAATATTCGACATCAAAACATAGTAGCCAATGTTCATCGGTTCAAACTCAATCACCTTTGCAAAAGCTACCTCTGCCATATCCACATTCTTATGGATTTTACAGGCACCCAACAGAGCTCCCCAAACAGCACCATCTGGTTCAATAGGCATTGATTCTATAAACGCCATTGCTTCATCTAACCGACCAGCTCTTCCGAGTAGATCAACTACACAAGCGTAGTGTTCACAACCAGGCTCCAGCTTATACTCTCTCTTCATCGCACCAAACAACTCCAACCCTTTCTCCGTCAGCCCTGAATGGCTGCACGTAGACAGAACCATCACAAACACTGTCCCATCTGGTCTTATCCCATTCCTAATCATATCATCGAAAAGCATAAGCCCAGTCTCAGCCATTCCATGCATCCCATAGCAACCTATCATAGCAGTCCACGACACCAAGCTCCTCACAGGCATCATATCGAAAACACCCCGCGCCTTTGCCAAGTTACCGCATCTAGCATACATACTAATCAACGCATTGCTAACAAACACATTAGACACAAACCCATTAACCTCAACCAACTTCTCCACCTCCTGACCAATCTTCTGAGCGCCAAGATGAGCACAAGAAGACAGAACACTAACCAACGTAACAGGATCAGGACCAACACCAGACGATTTCATCTCCTCATAAAGCTCCAAAACATCGTAAGCCAATCCGTTCTGCGCATACCCAGAGATCACAGCGTTCCATGTAATCAAACCCTTAACAGACACTTCATCAAACAACCTCCTACCAAACTCAACAGATCCACACTTCATGTACATAGTAATAAAGCTATTCAAAACAGCTAACTCAGAATCAATCCCTAATTTAACGCATTCACCGTGAAGAGACATCCCAAACCAGACATAATCAGGAACCGTGCAGACAGGGACAAGCCCGAGCATTGTAACCGAATCAACCGAAACACCTCTCTCCTTCATTGTCCGAAACAGACACGCGGCATCCCCCACCTTCGAGTTAACCGTGTAGCCAGATATCAAAGCGTTGTAACAAACTCCGAGCTGATGTGACTGAGGATTTTCGTCGAACACTTTACGTGCATCGTTTACTAAACCGCATTTACAGTACATTGAGATGAGAGCGGTCAGCACGAACGGCTCAGCGACGCAGCCTTCTCTGATGACGTGGCAATGGAGCTGTTGCCCGGAGAAAGGGAGAGAAAGCGCGGCGCATGATTTGAGAGTGAAAGGGTAAGAGAATGCGTCGGGAGAGGAGCCTGAACGGAGCATGGAGCGATAGAGAGTGATCGATTCGGAGAATAATGATTGGCGAGCGAGCTCTCGAAGACGCGCGTTCCATGGCGTGGAAGCCACTCGCTGTACAAAGCTCCGGGTTGTTGCAGCGACGGTCATCGCTTCTCCGCCGGTGATGACTAGTTTGGGAAAATGTATCATATATTGGAGTCAGGCCCAATAATAGGTGGAATGGGCCTAGGCCTAGCCCAATAAATTTATGAATGGGCCTAGGCCTAACTATTTGCGTGATGGTAAAATCAAAATAATCAGATTTATTTGGACAACCAAAGAGGAGATTTATAAATGTATCATATATTGGAGTTAGGCCCAATAACTGGTTAAATGGGCCTAGGCCGAGCCCAATAAATATTTAAATGGGCCTAGGCCTAACTATTTGCGTGATGGTAAAATCAAAAAAATCAGATTTATTTGGACAACCAAAGAGGAGATTTATAAATGTATCATATATTGGAGACAGGCCCAATAACTGGTTAAATGGGCCTAGGCCGAGCCCAATATATATATAAATGGGCCTAGGCCTAACTATTTGCGTGATGGTAAAATCAAAAGAATCAGATTTATTTGGACAACCAAAGAGGTTATAGTGTGATAGACCTTTTGCGTCTCGCATCAGCAAATCGTTGCCGCCGCTACGCTATTCCCTGTGCACGCAGATTGGACTTGTCTTCTTCTTCTTCTCGCTCTACCGCCGCGGGTTTGGGGGAAGCTCGTGCGGAGAGTAATCGCCGGAGCGGCTTCCGACCGACGGATCCGAGTGTCTGGTAAGAAAAGTGGATTTAACACTGTTGTTTTCGATTGCTATCAGATCGAAAATATCATTATTGTGGTTGTGTGTGTGCGTAAGTCGAGAAAAGTAGGGTTTTTGTTATATCTGTTATGTTAAAAATCGTCGATTTGAGAAACCACTATCCTTAGAGAAATGGATTTGTTATTACTATGTCTTGTAATAAAAAGGGCTTCGCTTCCTTTTGTCTTCCTTTGTCATTTGAAAATTCTTAGGATTTGTGGATTTTATGGTTTCATGGCGGTACTCTCTGGATTAGTTGATTAGTTCTGTATTATGATTACACTTGTTGAGTTATTTTGGGGTATAGTTCTGAAGCTAACGAAAGACCATGGTTGTAATTATTGACTCTTCTTATATTAAATTTATATGGAATTTAAATCAATCTACGTGCGCCTAAATCACTAACGTATACTATCCTTTGGCTTAGTAACCATATGAGATTCTGTGTTTTAGATCCTTACAAACCATATAGATTCTGTGTTCTTGTTCTTCCCCAATCAAGTTCTGTCTTATATGTTGATTTTGCATTTTTCTTTTGTGTTAAACTTGATGTAGATGTAGAACTATCTTGAATTTTGCTTAATTTAGCATGTCATGAACCCTCAGACTTTGGTTTTGCTATACATAGTTCGTTTTAAGTTTCTTTTTCAAGTTTATATCTTCTTGGATGACCTTGTATAGCTGTATTGATAGACCAAATGAATATGTAATCTCTTGGGATTGTGATTTGAGGCTTGGCTTGTTTAACTTTTTCTAAGTCATAGCTTTTGCTAATATATATCTTTAGCTTTGTCTACTACTGCTGGTAGGTTAACATATGTAGATGAATGTTTGCCGGACTCTTTTAAAATGCTGCCCAAAGCTAACAATATCTCTGTAATCTTTGTGACAGAAATCAGCGTGATTTGCAGCTTCTAAACCATTTTTCACCATGCCGAGTCTGAGAAGTGTCTCTGCCGTTAAGCTAATCACATACTCTGAGGAGCTTGTGGATGGAAAACCATTGTATGCTTCTTCCAACTCTCTTCCTGTGAAGGCTCTAAACCGCGAGCCTGCTGGTCATGCCTTCCATTCTGCTGCTCTTAAACTCCATGGTTGTGCAGAGGAGCCCACAGACAGTGAAGGTGATGACAAGAAAGTGGGAGATGATAAAGAGAAGGAATATGTTCCTTCATTCAACTCATATTCTAACAAAGGAAAGAAGAAGTCTGGTACACAACAGCAAGACCACTATGCCTTGTTGGGGTTGAGCAACTTGAGATATCTTGCAACAGAAGATCAGATTAGGAAAAGCTACCGTGAAGCTGCGTTGAAGCATCATCCCGATAAGCTCGCTAGTCTCCTTTTGACAGAGGAGACTGAAGAAGCCAAGGAGGCGAAGAAAGAGGAGATAGAGTCTCGCTTCAAAGCAATTCAAGAAGCTTATGAGGTGCTGATGGATCCAATAAAGAGGAGGATTTTTGACTCAACCGATGAGTTTGATGACGAGGTCCCAACGGATTGTGCCCCACAAGACTTTTTCAAGGTGTTTGGTCCAGCTTTTAAGAGAAATGCTAGGTGGTCTGTGAATCAGCGTATACCGGATTTGGGAGATGAGAACACAAAGCTGAAAGATGTTGACAGGTTCTACAACTTCTGGTACGCTTTCAAGAGTTGGAGGGAGTTTCCTGATGAAGAAGAGCATGATCTTGAACAAGCAGATTCCCGTGAAGAACGGAGGTGGATGGAGAAGGAGAATGCAAAAACAACCGCCAAGGCTAGAAAGGAGGAACATGCTAGGATCCGGACTCTTGTTGACAATGCGTATAGAAAGGACCCTAGAATTGTGAAAAGAAAAGAGGAAGAAAAGGCTGAGAAGCAACAGAAGAAAGACGCAAAGCTTATGGCTAAGAAAAAGCAGGAAGAGGAAGCTGCTATTGCTGCTGCAGAAGAGAAGAGGCGAAAAGAAGAAGAAGAAAAGCGAGCAGCAGAATCTGCACAGCAACAAAAGAAAGCTAAGGAGAAGGAGAAGAAGCTCATACGCAAAGAACGTAACCGTCTCAGAACCCTCTCAGCTCCTCTGGTGGCTCAGCGTCTGCTTGACATCTCTCAGGAAGATATAGAGAATCTATGCATGACACTTAATATCGAGCAGTTGCAGAATCTATGTGATAAGATGGGAAACAAAGAAGGGCTAGAGTTGGCTAAGGTGATCAAAGATGGGTGCAGCAACAGTAGCAGAGACCAAGAAGCCATCTCTAAAGAAAAAGAAAGTGAGAAAACTAACGGTAGCGGCGCAGAGCGAGTTTCTTCTGTGTTAGAGAGTACTGTGAAGAAACAACCATGGAGTAAGGAAGAGATTGATATGCTGAGAAAAGGAATGATAAAATATCCAAAGGGGACATCTCGGAGATGGGAAGTTATATCAGAGTACATCGGTACAGGAAGATCCGTGGAAGAGATTCTGAAAGCAACCAAGACCGTACTTCTCCAAAAACCAGATTCTGCCAAAGCATTTGACTCGTTCCTCGAGAAGAGGAAACCCACTGCTACAATCGCTTCCCCTCTCTCCACAAGAGAGGAGCTCGGAGAATCTCTACCGGCCACAGCAAAAGTTAAACCACCCTCTAAGGAGCCCATTGTTGGTCAAAGCTCAGACAGCAACGGTGAAGCAAGTGGGAGTTCAGACACAGATGGTTGGTCAGCTGTACAAGAGAGAGCTTTGGTTCAGGCTTTGAAGACATTCCCTAAAGAGACAAGCCAAAGATGGGAGAGAGTAGCTGCTGCTGTTCCTGGGAAGACGGTAATTCAATGCAAGAAGAAGTTTGCAGAGCTTAAGGAGATTATCAGAAGCAAGAAAACCGGTGTCTAAATCTTATCGTAGCTCCATGAGAATTTTGGGTTTGAATCCTCTTTGGGGCACTGTTACTTTGCAAGATCAAGACCTTGAAACTTCTATTATTATTTATAATGATTCATTTGCTTCTGTACTATTACAAACTTAATACTTTTACCTAATCTTATGTATTGTTTGAGTATGATTTGATTTGAGATACCTGCTTTATCAGGGTTACAAAAACTAAACCATACAAATCGAAATCAAACAGGGTTATACTTTTCCCAAGTTCACAAATCTTGTCTCAAGTCTCAGCTATAACAAACCGCAAGGTTGTTAAAAAGGAAGTGAAGTAGCATGAAAATATAGAAAGATACAACTGTGATATGGTTCATTTTTTGTTACAAGGACCAAACAGGAGGCATATTAGTCCATGTGCAAGACCCAACTCCTTGTTGTGTTTGACCTGATGATGACGCAACAGTAACGTAACTGTTTTCAATGTCTTCACCACCAAGAAGAAACGCAAGCGCATCACTCATGCTGCTTGAGTCTCTTACAATCCCCAGACAGCCTTGTTGGTCTAGCCAGCTCGATGCAAGTAAAACATCAGGTTGTGTTACATCAATTCTATTTGGTTCCCAAACCTGTTGATCCAACTCTTCTGTCTTCACCAAGTTCCCTGCAGAATCTTCAACAAATATGAAAAAGAGACTCTCAGCCACAAGACACTCAGCAAAGAATCAGATTCTGTTCACTTCCTTCCTTAAGAACCCTTGATTGTTTTCTATAGACATCTGAAATGACGGCCAGTCCACTGGAGGAGACAAAGAAATGCAACGGAGGATGGAAGTTTGCCCTTTTGGAGTTGGCTAATTCTCATTATGCTGCAGTCTGTATTGAAGATGATGAAGCTGATGAAGGTGCAGTTTCAGTTGATATATCTCTTGACAGTGAAGGATCCATTGGTTTACTGGTTTCTTCATCACATCTTTTTCCTTCTTGCAGGAGCTCCAGTGAAGGTGATTGTTCGGAGAACCATCCCGTTTGTAGAAGACGAACTTATTTCTGAAAGAATATATCTGTAGTTAAGTGCAAAACCTTCATTCTTCTGTAATCATTTTATTTTATATACATCATCTGCAGTACGCTTTCTGAGCATTATTTTTGTGAGATTCTTGAAAAATCACCAGTAATCCTTGCACGAGCAGAGCCCATCTTTGAAATAGTGGAACCTTGATGCATCTCTTACAACAAACCTACGATCAACAACCTTGCTAACCATCTTGATGAACACATGACAATCTTCACAAACCCTCAGGTTCTTTATCACAAGAATCTCTGTCCCTGGACTAGTGTTGAGGATCGCAAATGCTACTGCTAACCTCTCGCTATGCTCACGCGTGTTGCTCGAAACCTCTCCGCATCTATCACAGTCTGTGTTTCCCGTGATCTCCATCACAGAAGTCTCTAACTCATCCAGCATTCTATAGACATCCTCTGTCTGCTCATGACTTCTATCCCCAGCCAAAAACAAATGAACTCTTCCCTTGTGTTCCACGTAACTATACCCTGGCTCTTTCTTGAATCCTCTCTCTCTCATCATTACCCGTATTCTCCAGATTCCTTCTTGATTCTTTGACTCTGTATATATATTCGACATCAAAACATAGTAGCCAATGTTCATCGGTTCAAACTCAATCACCTTTGCAAAAGCTACCTCTGCCATATCCACATTCTTATGGATTTTACAGGCACCCAACAGAGCTCCCCAAACAGCACCATCTGGTTCAATAGGCATTGACTCTATAAACGCCATTGCTTCATCTAACCGACCAGCTCTTCCGAGTAGATCAACTACACAAGCGTAGTGTTCACAACCAGGCTCCAGCTTATACTCTCTCTTCATCGCACCAAACAACTCCAACCCTTTCTCCGTCAGCCCTGAATGGCTGCACGTAGACAGAACCATCACAAACACTGTCCCATCTGGTCTTATCCCATTCCTAATCATATCATCGAAAAGCATAAGCCCAGTCTCAGCCATTCCATGCATCCCATAGCAACCTATCATAGCAGTCCACGACACCAAGCTCCTCACAGGCATCATATCGAAAACACCCCGCGCCTTTGCCAAGTTACCGCATCTAGCATACATACTAATCAACGCATTGCTAACAAACACATTAGACACAAACCCATTAACCTCAACCAACTTCTCCACCTCCTGACCAATCTTCTGAGCTCCAAGATGAGCACAAGAAGACAAAACACTAACCAAAGTAACAGGATCAGGACGAACACCAGACGATTTCATCTCCTCATAAAGCTCAAAAACATCATAAGCCAATCCGTTCTGCGCATACCCAGAGATCACAGCGTTCCATGTAATCAAACCCTTCACAGACACTTCATCAAACACCCTCCTACCAGACTCAACAGATCCACACTTCATGTACATAGTAATAAAGCTATTCAAAACAGCTAACTCAGAATCCATCCCTCCTTTAACGCATAGACCATGAAGAGACATCCCAAACAAGACATAATCAGGAAGCGTGCAGACAGGGACAAGCCCGAGCATTGTAACTGAATCAACCGAAACACCTCTCTCCTTCATTGTCCGAAACAGACACGCAGCATCACCCACCTTCGAATTTACCGTGTAACCAGATATCAAAGCGTTGTAACAAACTCCAAACTGATGTGAGTGAGGATTTTCGTCGAACACTTTGCGTGCATCATTTACTGAACCGCATTTACAGTACATCGAGATGAGAGCGGTCAGCACGAACGGCTCAGCGACGCAGCCTTCTCTGATGACGTGGCAATGGAGCTGTTGCCCGGAGATAGGGAGCGAAAGCGCGGCACATGACTTGAGAGTGAATGGGTAAGAGAATGCGTCGGGAGAGGAGCCTGAACGGAGCATGGAGCGATAGAGAGTGAGAGCAACCACACTAGTGAACCCCCCTTTGGGGTTCACAAATTTTTTTTATTATTTTTTGGTGGGACCATGAATAGTGTTGAACCCGGATTAAATGTGCTCTTCCATCAATGAACCCGAAGTTGGGGTTCATAGGAATAAAATATTATTTTTTATTTTAAAATTTTTTGAAATTGTTTTTTTATAAAAATATATTAAATAGAATTAGAATGTTTGACCAAAAAACATAATGAAATAATTTTTGAAGAAGTGCAAAACATGGAAAATAAAATTTTTATTTATTTTATAAAATGTTTTATTCGATACATTGATAATTCATGAAGATACAAAGATTACTAATTGAGATTACTAAACTTCTGCCAAATATTTTCGACCAAATCGGCTTTCAAACGAGCATGTGTCTGCGCATCTCGAATTTGATTGCGAATGACATGCATATTATCGCCATTCAAAGATGTTGTCGTGTGAACTTGGGAACTTCTGCTTGACTCTCCTGTCTCGAACTCAGATGTATCATAAAGAGTGTATGAATGTCGTTCGTCCTCAACTATCATATTGTGCAGTATGACACAAGCTCTCATAATCCTCCCTATTTTATTTATGTCCCATAGTAGAGCTGGGTTTTTAAC